CGCCTAATTATGAGTTTGAATTTATGTAAGAGTTGCTTTGGAATTGAGGTAGGCGAATGTGCGAAGGGGCTCCATCCAGGTTGATAATAGCTATGGGCCATCCGTCGAACCAACTTTATTTCATCTCCCAGGATGTTATTTTACCTCTTTTATCCGTTAACATGTTTGAGGGAATTCGAAAATCAAAAATAGTTATGAAAACTTCAGTGTCTCGATGGCTATGCAATTTTAAAACGGAGCTTTACCTAAAATAGGATGCTTTAAATTGCCATGTCTTAATACTTGAACAGTTTTTCAGCTCCAACTTTTTACTGACATACACCCAACAGGCGTTTTAGTTTCGCCTTAATCGTTATGCATCGGAATTCTGCTCTCTTATTAAATAATAGACTTACTTGACTAAAATGATAAAATTATGTCAAGGTAAGAGACTGTACAAATACATATGCATCCTGGAGACACTTCTCTTAAAACATTATGCAAGCCCTCACACGCCTTGATAGCGCAATAAGTTGAACACCTTTCATTTACTTTTTACCGTAAATTGAAATTGCATTTCTGGTCGGAAACTAGTGCACCGAAATAAGCAAATGTCAAACTATTGCTGTTTTAAACGTTTGCAAATATGCAGCTGCAGACATTAAAGCCGAGCACATTCATTTATTTGACTATAATTAAAGTTATACAAAACAAGACAAGTTATTAACTAATTTCATTTCGAGTCAACTATTTTCTTACTAAAGATTCAAATCATTTAAGGGTCATCTTGAATGTAGACGAGTTGAAGTGATAATTGAATAACAAGATATTGCTGAGGAGGCAAAGGAAAAGGACGAAAGTATTTGAAACATCACACTGTTATACGTTTATCGTTAGGGTGTATCAAGACAAAGTTGTGCCATTGGATGTAAGAAAAATTCCTGTCAACTGATCAGTGGTGTTGAGTAAAATGTGATTAGTCACCTAATTGTCAACTTGTATCATCTCGAATCTCCTCTAATCTAACTCTGATGTGTATTTCAATTTGATGAATTTAATAGCCCCTCCCGAGTTTGTCATATTTATAAGATAATAAGAAATACGAGTCCTCAGCCTTCTCTCAAGGCATCTCAAAAATATTTTAGTTATTTCGACGCCTTTAGATGCAATAAGCTATTGCACAGTTTACACCACTCATATCTATTTTCAACAGAAATTTAGTTTTGAGGACGAAAAGGTTCTTTACACCTCAGGTTCTTGAATCCAACACCGATATACAAAGCCCTGCTACAGTCAAGTAGAAAAAAGTAGGTAGTGACTCGACCATATTTGACGCGGCGCCACTGCCATCACGGACCCAGCGATCCAGCCATCAAACTGCTTCCTGTCACATGGATTTGAGCTTCTGACCAAATTTCTCAAAATTTGAGTTAGGTAAAAGCACCTTGCCTTGTCCTTTTTAATTACAATGAAGTTTCTGTCAAAATTTTATGAAGCGTTTTAAATTGAAAGTGTTGTTTAATTATGCGTATTTTGTACCCTGGAATCACCGGGGCAAGTTCAAAATGCATTAGTTTGTCAAACTTAATTTACATCGTCTAATGTGCTTGCTCTCAATTCAAAAATATAGGAGATGTTTTCATGCCGAAGAATTTGAATATTTGATTAAATTAAAGGGAGCAAATGTGGAAAACATAATCATAAAAGTCGGGAAATTATGTATTTTAAGCTAAAACAAGACTTGTAAATTCCAGTTTGGGCGCAATTAGAGGCTGTAATCAGTAAGTTACCTACCTCAAAGAAAAGGAAATGCAGAATCATATTATTTGGTTCAGCCAAGAGTAAATGATTGAAGTCGGCGCTAGGCAATTAGCGCTCTTCAAGTTCTCCCGTTAGTTGAAAACACTGCGTCCTCACCAAACAGCCGTGTGCAAGATTGCCGACACATCCTTTATAATAAGGGGGGATTAGAGCTTGAGTTAAGTGGTTTATCCATCAGCAAATATCAGTCGAACGGGCTGCAGAAGTTGCTACGTTATCGTACACTTAAATGTGTTTACGTTATTTTTGAATGATGGCTTCTATATGGAACCTTCTCAGCCGTAATTTTATGAGTTACGGAACCTCCAATTTTACAGGGGCCTGGTAACCTCAAACAAACAAGCATGCACCAAGCCCACGGTTTCACTGGTCGTGTCGCTTTTTGGACACAAATTACTTTGACCTATGAAAAATTCGAAGTCACTGATGGAGCAAACAGAATAATTGCAAAACGTGTTCCATTTTAATGGCGCAAATCTCAATGCAACTTACAATTTGAGTTCTATAATAGGCTTCAGAAGGCTCAAAGAACGTTGAACTACCAAGTGAGAAATATTTTTGATTCAGTCCACTTCCTTTGCACTACAAAATCTCCCATTAGCGTTAGGCTCGTTGTCAAACAGCAGGTTCACTTTTGCGTCCAGCGGCCTAGACTTGAGAAGTAAAAATCACTTTTTTTGCAAATAAAAACGTATTGTCTTTGCAAAATGGATTAGCATAAGTGCAAAACAAAACCATGTGTTATAAGAAAGTCTGATTGCTGTTTCCTGTTACCACCCTTTAGCAATCTAGTAGTTATAATAAAACTTATTCTTTGCTGCTCGTTATCATCGTTGGTTATGTTTTCAGGCTGCATTGAGGGTCTAACCAACTGAATTGCTTGAGTACAATCACTAACAGGACTTTGAGCGTGGATATCTTTGTTTCACATCCGCGACTAGATTTTAGTTTTGGTTTGAAAATGCAAAACTAACCTACTGACATATTTTACACTTTCAAAAGGCATAAAATTGTCCAGATTAAAAGCAACATAACTTTGATGATAAAAAGTTGTGTGTTATCGCTTAAAATCTATCAAGATGAGTGCTGCTGAAACTGCAAACTATGTTCTAGCGAAAAGGAGCTTAGCGTATTTGTTACTTCTTAAAGTAACACTTTTGAACCAGTCGGCGCAACATTGACTGTCGGTAGAAGTTGCATCCCCATCGCACATATCCCAGCATGTCCCACACATTGCCAGCACCATAATTCATTTCCTCATGCAGGCATTAAATTAAACCTGATGAAGCGGATCCCCAGCCCTTAAGATCTCAACACATATAGCACAATGCCAAAATTCTGTTGCTAATAAAACGATACAGTATATCAATGAGTAAGACTTAAACAGAAAAAAAAAATTTATTTTTGCTTACTTAAAATAGGCAGAATTGGGTAATTAAGCAAGGTGGACTAGGAAAACTAGTGAGGAAAGTTACAACTGATGTTGGCAAAAAAGATATTACGCCAGCGCAACTCAAGAAATACCATCTCACGTAACACTTCGTGGTCGAACTGAATTTGAAAGCCGTTTCACTCGGTATTACAAACACTGTTTTAAAATTCGTATTGTCTAGGAGGTCAAATGGTGTAAGTAATGCTGTTTTTTTCACCTTCAGAAAAAGACGCATCCATTTGAGGTTCAAATTAAAAAAGAAAGCAAGGTATGTGTTTTGAGTGCTTATAAAGAAGTCTGTTATTACATAGCAAATAGAAAATCAAGTTGTACTTAAAAATACACAAATCAGCACCACGCTCTGAAATGTTAAGTGGGTTAAGATTTAAAAGAGACTCCGATTCGATTTATCCCTGCTCCATCGATCCAGCCGATTTAAACACAAAATCCCACTTAGGCGCTAATACAGTTGTTGCAGAACTCGCGTGCGAGAGAGAATGTCACCAAAGAAAAAAGAAAATAAGAACGACAACATTGTTCCGTCGTTATCGAATGAAGCAGGCTCCATACAGGCAAAAATGAATGGTCTAAAACTTCGAGCAGCAATCGACACAACAGTGAAAAAAAATCTCAAAGCCGATAAATATGAGGCCAGAAGGCTCATTCGCCGGTTGAGAGAACGCATTGTACTTAATCAAAATGAGGCGAAACTTGCCACGGCTTGCGTCAACACTCAGTACAAACTGTTGCAGCGTCTCTTCATGCTTCGCGTGCACGAGTCAAAGGAGGCCATAGCTCGATTGAGGAAGGAGAATTGTGACTTGAAAGCGGAGCGCGATAAGGTGATTTCGGCAAAAGACGAGTTAATCAACGAAAAGGATGAGCAAATTGCCAAACTGGAGTCGCATCTACAGTCACTTCATTTTCAACTTGAACGAGTGGTACTGGAAATGGTGGAAAAATTGGAGAATAGATTAGAAGAGGACAGGTTGGAGTGGGAGAAAGAGGCTTATACCTTCCACGAAACTTCAGCCAAAATTTTGCAAAAATTGGGCTATGGAACCACATTTATGTGACATAGCTAACTCTGCTTGATCAATCAAATTTTCTATTGCTGAGTAATTATATTTGCAAATTACTTAAAGATGACTTTTATATGTCTGGAAGAGGTCAGTGAGGGGGACTTTGTGCCCAGCTGCTGTAATTAATTTGACTCGGAACAAAAGTACAGTTATTACTCAAAACCAATTTTCCCGAAATCCAGAACTTTCGTCTTTCTTGGTATTTATCTCCGGCTTCAAGTCCTGTGATCGGGAAAACTAATCTGCAGAGGACACAACGTATTGTTTGTAAAAGGGTAATAAAATTTTTTAAAGGAGAAGGGATTTGCATTCCCGTCGGGAAATGGAATTGATGTCACAATCATCAGACTAGTGAAGCAGATGGCTTGTTAGTTAGAAGCTGCAATCAAACTTGTATTACAGGGTAGTTCTGAGGTGCTTTCTTTAATTGCTATCGCCTGCCACAGTTTTTTAAGGATTATTCCTACAAAGAAGTTGGGAGTACATCTAAATGGCAGTATTCAGTCCCAAAACGGCTTTTTTGAACTAGACAATAAACTAGGACAAAGGCAAATGAAAGCCTTAGAAGCAAGGAGCTTCTTTGAAATGACATCTTGGATAAAGCCAGTTTAGACAGCGCAGCAAAGATATTCCAATGAGATGTCGACAACCAAGCTCTCTTTGTGTGGAATTTTTCATTCGTGTAAGTTAAATAACTAAGGATGTTTCGCAATTATGCATTTTCAGCTTAAATCTAAATGTCGTGATATCACCTAAAATCACTGACAACTTTTTTTGCATACAAATATCAGAAAATGTATTAATTTTACTTCCATTCCTGCAGAAAAATTTCTGACGATGAGACTTGCGGACAAAGTCTCAGTAAAATGAAGCTCGGTAACAAATAGGGATTGCGATTAGAGCAGACTTTGAATAATTTCTGTAATGTTATGTTAGTAAATGTTTATTGAGTAATTATTGTACAGCCTCGCGCCCCAGTCTGTTAATAACCAGCAAATAAGGCTCCGTTATTGCTGCTTTAAAATAATCGTATTTATGATTGAATAAAGATTGACGCAGCTTAGATAAACCAAAACGCTCGGACTTTAATACGTGACGTTCCAATGTCATACTATAGGCAAATCAAAAAGTTCATTTAAAAGGAGGACAAGCAAGTTTCCGCCGTAAGATCGTGTGCCAAATATGCACTATTGTTTGATTCGCAAAATGTCACACCGCGAAAAGTAATGCGATAAAGTAGTCAAAACTGCTTTTCACCCGTAAGGCCTGAGTGCGTAGTCCTGATAAGATACATCTAAGCGAGCGTTTAAAGTTAAACGAGGAGGAGGCTGCTATGGTGTAGGAAACCTGCTTGCGTTATCGGGAGCGTGTTTTCACACAACACATGGATACACCCTTCCTCAACATTGCGCACAGTCAATTGACACACATTTCCTGGCATAAAGAAAATTGTATTCATGCATAAAGCTGGCCAATAGTTAGTTGAAGCTCACGTACACCGCTAGAACGAAGGTCGCTTTGGAAGTTGGGGATACAGTTTTACTGTTAAAATAGGGCTTCATTTTTTATGACCAGAGTGAATTATTGCTCTATATGTTGTAATTAATCAAGGCAAAAATTTGTTGCACCAACGCTGAAGTAGTCTCAACTAACAACAGTGAATTTTTTGACATGTGTTTTCTTTTTGCTTTTTGCTTTGAAATCCCACCTTTTCTTATACCTTAGCTTGATAAACCGTAAAGCGCGTTAAATAATTCCCTAATTAGTATCACATTAACTTTTGGTCTGATAACATGTTGGGTACGTTCCATGCTAATCATACGTCTCTTTGCTATTTCCTATCCTTCAAATCATAATTTATGATGCCATTTCGGCGAATGCGTTATTACAGGCACCTGATGAGTCCGTGAAATCTTATCAGGCTTTATATGAAGATTTTATTTCTAAGGAAGAACCACCTTATTTGCTGTTGTTGTTGGTGTTGTTTCTAATGTGTTAGTCTTCCCAGATTTGTGATTACTTCGAATTTCTTCAGGTTGTACTCACTATTTAGCCATTAACAGCAATGGCCCGAAGGGAACGCCATTGCACGAAGATGGGAATTGAGGCTGTATAAGGCTGAAGTGCTCGTGCAGAAGAGAGGACAACTTAAACAAGTACTATTCTGTAACAAATATTTTTGTATTTGGGCCTTAGCCATTGTATTTGCCATTAAACGGTGTTGTAGGTCAAGAAGACACTTCGTTGGGAACTTGGAGTAACGCTGAAAAATTGATCCGATGGATGCAAGGAATGTTTTTTCAGTGTACAGTTCAAAAATACTAAAAATGCGGTGTATGCACACATCCCTTGAGATTGGGTGCTACCGTTTAATGACCTGATTAGAAGTTAATGTCTGATGAACTAAACATACTATTCAATTAATTTTGAAAAATTTTTCCATTCCAAAAGGCCGTGATTAACAATAACCACCTAAAAAAAGCCTTATTCTTCATCTAAAAATGATTCTAAAACAGACCAAATCAACTAGCGGGAATGTAGCATAATGAATAACGCTGTCCACAAACCCCGAAGAAAAAATAAATGACAAGGGAATTGTCAAATAAAAACGGAAATCCCCACAAATGAGTTTTAGCGATTTTGGCGGATCAGTGAAATGTAATTCCAAGTAAGTACAACCAGCGTAAGTTCACGTCTTCACAACAGCCAAGTAGTAAGATCATATGGGAAATAAGACCCTGTTCACTCGAGATAAGGTAAACCAATTGGTTGGAAGGGGCTAACAACTTTATCTGCAAGTAACACGATTTTTATCCTCATACTCTATCTATTGGAGAAATCTAAACGCTTACTTCTTTTCACAAATCTTAATGACAAGAGACATCACCTAATAGAAATCAGCCATAAATTATTACCATATAGAACTTTAACTGGCCCTTCTTAAGGTGAATTCACGGTTTGAGATTATTTAAACAGACTTTTGATGACCGTATTTCTGTTCGGAGACCATTTTAAGCGACGAATGTATTTCGTATCTTGCATATCACTTCTGAATTTGGTGCATACGTAAATGTAGAACTTTTTGTCAACTTTTATGGGCTGCTTTGATTCTTTTCCATGTACAACACAGTAACAAGTGCTCGGAAATGTCCTTACGCCAACTATGATTGGATTTTACCGATGAACTTTAAAGTTGACGGACTTTAAGTGCGCCTTCGTGTTTCACTCACCTTCTCATTCCTCAAACAAATGCAGTATTTTCAGCCATCACTGACTTCGCTAAGCTCAACTATTAAAACATTAAACATTAACAACATTTCACTCAAAAAATCATTCCCATAGCTCAAAACTTTTTGTTTGTCTTCACCTCGACTGAATGCGGGAAACACTTACGTCTCTCAAATTGTAAACACATGTGGCAAAATAAACTTCTGTAGCATTTATGCATCAATTTTTAATCAAACTAGTCGAGTTCCTCTTTGTTTAAGTTAACCCTACCATGGTATAATTTTAGAAAACATTCTTTCCAAGTGGTCCATAGAATACGTAGTGGTATAATAGTTTGCAATGCTTAGTGGTAATTTCATTTTAATTTGACCGGAAAATTTCTGATTCAAGCAAGTTCTTTTAAGTTTTAAGCCGATTTTTGTCCAGTACCTAGAAAGTCCAGCAATATTTTTTGGCTATAGCTGTTTTGTCTGCCAATTAAATGTCATGTGTAGTGAACGGTCAGTTGTGAAAAGAAACTCTCGAAATGAAAATCAGATTTGCGTAAACCAACTAAAGGGCAATTTCTCAGGAATTGCGGCCCTTCCCATTATTAGTTTCTCCAACAGCCAGACCTAGGCTCCTTTATGGAATAGCCAAGTAGGACTTACATGCCATCATATCTTTTACACGTTTATTTGAATCCCCCACACTTTGCTTCATTTGGCTAGGAATAAAATGTTACAACTCTAATTTTAGGCGGCTCTTCTTTATTCACTCGTTTTTATATGGGCTTGATAAGAAGTTAAGTACCGTAAAGTCGTGTCCATTTGTGAACACCTTTTACAATGAAAAAAGAGATGCACATTGAGCAGAATTAATGGAGAGATATGCTCTCAGTCAAAATCTCATGGACTATGCTTCATGCAAATTGCTGTCTAGCGGGATACGTATGGTTCATTTCTAAATTTAACAGTAAATAGTGAAATTCTATGGGAATAGGTAACTGTGGAACAAAACATGATTTTTCTACGGGCTTTAATTATTAGGCGAATGCAAAGCTGTGTGGACATTTATCCTTACAAGGGTAGGAGAATGGAAAGATAAAAGAACAATTTTATCAAAGTCGGTTTAAATGAGAAGGGGATGCTCCGCTGCTTTTAAAATACAACGAAAGGCAATTGAGGGGACTAGAGCCCGCAGCCTCTGGAATTCACTAGGTTTAGAAATCGACTTATTTTATAACTGCAAGCATTTCTGAATAAAATAATTCTGCTGTGCCATGTCCACGCAACGAAAATAAGGGTTAATCCTGTTCACAGTAATTCAAAATACCAATTTTTAAAGACTAAACATCTGAACGCACCTATGATTAAACTCCCTTTATTAAACCGTAAAAATTTTGAACTAAGTGCTCATAACGCTTTGTTTTATTATGTAGTTTGCATCCTAATTTTTTTTCATGGAAATAGATGCCACTTCATTTACGGATTTAACTCGCTTGTTTTGAAGATGTATTGATGGTAAAGGATGACAAGTGCGCGCAAGATCAAGAAGTGTTGACAGCACATTATCTATTAATTCAAAAGTAGACGTTCATCAGCTAAGGATACATTGCATCCAGCTACAGATCCGTTAAATGACTGGACTCCAAGTGCGATAGGAAATTCAATCTAATGTATTGCAGAAGAACTACTCACAACTGCATTCCATCCAAGAATTTGTACTGTCCATACACGGCGCTCCTCGATAAAAAAGGGTGCTCCGATGCTTGAGAGGCCCGACGTGGCTTCCCGATGGGAGTGTGCTCAATCACAGCCCATAATACAAAGTCACTGCTACCACGTAATTACTCGCGTTCCAGTGGGCATTTTCGTATCTTCAACGTGGCTTTCAATTGTTCACAGGCACATAGTGATAAAACTATCGTTGTCAGTACGCCTTTACTAATTGTGCGCTCTTAAAAATTATAATTTTTCAAAAGTAAGTAGTTTTGTTTGCTCCAGATAGTCGTACAGGACCTAATTTTGGGGCTTCGGTAAAACTTCCCAACATATGAATCATTTTAAAACTAGTTTTTCAAAACTCGTGCTGCAAGCAGGAGTGAAGTGTGCAGCAATGAACTGCAAGACTCAAATGCCGCAGCAGGATGGGCAAAGGTCTCTTTTTATCTAAATACAAAGTTTTTTTGCGAATCTATTTGTGGCAGAACGAGAAGCATTAGCCGATTCAACAGGACGTTAAATATAGGTGGTATATGGGCCGAACGTGCTGGCAAAGCGACAATTTTAAAAATTTGGATTATGATGAGCCTGAAAACTTTTTTGTTTCACAAATTTTAAAAATAGATTATTGTGCTATTTGCTCAACACAGTCAGAATTTGTACTGGATAACTTTTGACATACCCGACTTGGCGATGGGTTAATGGGTAGTATTAACTTGTATCTACTTGCTACAGTCGACATGCAAATAAACGTAAATTACTAATTACACCATATTTACAATTTTTTACAATGTGTCAAACATGGCTCAGACTGCTGATCCTAGGTAGTGGGCCGTGGCTGATTCATTTGCATATCGCTCATCTTTGGCTAAAAAATGTGTTTTCAAATGGAAAAAGGCAACCA